ATAAAATGTTGTGGTGCGATACTTTCAATTATATATAATTATGCTTTATTAAGTAATGATTATTACTGTAACAATCATGTATAAATTAATTGCTTTAGATAATTTATATATAATAATTGTGATAACAATGATGATAGTGTCTTATTGATTTCTCTGTTAAATGAAAGCTAAAGTGTTGATAATAGATTTTAATACTGATAATGATTATGATACTTCAAAAAGTCAAAAGTCTTGATAGTTGGTGATTTTTATCTACTAAGTATTCTTTTGACTTTGGACAGGGTTGGTGAGTATATTATGCACCCTGTACAAAATTGACATTTTATATTATTACTACAGTAGTATTGCAACACTTATGCATGCCTCAATATGTATAATAATGCATAATATCAATTAAAATCTTGAAGCTATAATAATCATACAAATAATAAATTGAGAAATTTACTATGTAGTATACAATTAGTGTAGGTCTATCATTTAGTTGCATAATTTTTACTGTCAATTTAGCTCCATATTAGTCTATGCACCATGGGGCTTATTCTTAGGCCTTCATGTTTATGTCTCCATAAAATTAGAGGTGCTAATAAGTGTTTACTTCATGTTAATATATTCATATTTTTTCTTCATTGCCTATGTTGTTTCAATTGAAGCTGTCACTTTTGATCAGTGTACAATAATGGTTGACTTTTCCTCAGTGTCAATCAAAGTAAACAACTGACCAATCAGAATGTGTTATTCAATAGGTAGACAAGTAATACGCGAGTGTCCCATAATCGTTGACTTTTGTTGAACTTTAATATTATATCATAAATCAAATCAAATCAAGGATCTATTTGACTTTCAAGTTTATAAGACTTAATATATAGTAATCTTGCAAATTTTCATAAACCATTGTTTGTGGAAAGGTTTAATATGGATTCACATTCACCATTGTATATTATTTCCTTAGCTTAGTAAAAAAGGAAAATGAATGCACATACTACAAAAATCATAGCTTATAAAATAACTTTGTGTAAAAGTATATAAAGATAGATATAAACAATAAATATAAATTGTGCATTTTAAAAATTATGTGTGTCATATTTAGTATTTCCATAAATTTAGTAGCTTCCATTTTCACCAATGCAATTGGCTTTGTTTTTAGGTGTTTTTTTTTCATAAACTCAGTGTTTCATTTTCTTATTCCATTGGAATTATCTGTTAGTCATATAATTAGCCGTCATAGCTTCCACTGTTATCCCATTGTCACCAATAGCTTCCATGGGGACCTTGACTGTGTTACACAGACCTATGTAATTATGTAATAATATTGTGTTTGTATATACATTAAAAATATGAATATGCTACAGTTTTTTGTTTCACTGTCTTGTTGTTAGCAACTTATGTTTTCCTTACAAACATAATTCGTAGTTTGTACAAATATTAAATGGTAATGAATGCAGATTTCCATATTCCAAACTCCCTGTATGTCCAAGGAGGATATCTATGTATTAGACTATGAAGCCCTTTACAGCAATGTAGTGCCTCCCTTTTTGTCACGCTTGATGGTCAAGATTAAACTATTATGATGATGATGATGATGATACAATTCGATCAGCAGATGTCTTGATATTATAACGAAATAATGGTACAGTCCAACTCCAAAGCCCTACCCATAAAATCTAACAGTCCACTTCCTGAAGGAGGTGATTGGTTGAGAGGGGAAATAAGTTTGGAGATGAGAGATTGTGACAGACTAGGAAGTAAAGTACTCTGTGTATTGGAAGAAGTAAGGAAATTAAAAACGTATGTATAAAAAAAATTGTTAAGGGCTAAAAAGTGGATCGACTACCCAGTTAGTTCAGGTAGGACACGATTTTAGATGTTATATTGCAAGTTTCTCACTAGGCAGTGGTAGAGCAGAGTGAGATGATTAGGGTCTAGAATCCTGCCTCCAACTTAAGTATTGTCTTGTGGCGTGTATGGTCACTGGTAGGCCTCTTCTCTAGGCCTATTTCGTTGATACCCTTGTACATTAGGCTTACGTGAATCCTGCTGTAGTGACCTTGTGAAGGGATGGAGCTATAAAATCTATATGTATTACCCTCTCTTGTAGTGCGTTGAGACCATGCCTGATAATAATTACTGCCACTTACAGTAGATGTGTACTACTATAAATGTACCTGTGGATACGCATGTAGGAAACGTATGGATGGATATGCTTGTGTGAAATAGTTAAGGTTTTTTAATAAGAGCTTTGAATAAAATCGATTTAAATACTGTTGATTTATATATTTGATTGACCTAATTATGTACATACTGTAATTTTGTGATTCACAATACAGTAGTAAAACCACACAACACAGTTCAAATTGTTGGAATCTGTGGCTTGTCTTCTAGTCTTATCCAGCATATCCCAGGACCGAATCACCCAGGCTGCCACAGTATATGAGAAATATAAACACAACATCATCATAACTAAACAAAAAATATCAAAAGCATAGGTCATGTTCTCAATTTTTATAATTTAATAAAAAAAAAACATTGAAATCTACAATTCCTTACACTCATCAAATATCAAATGCATATGGCACTACTTATGGAAGACGGAAAACAAGGTGGGTATCCATGGCAATATTCACTTTTCTGATCCACCCTGGATCCATACACACGTCTAAAATTTATATCACAAATTGATCACTATTTCTAGACTACTATTTTACATGTTTTAAAATTTACTTCTGTATTTTCAGATTATAATTAGCATTAAAAATTAAAACTATGAATAAAACTTGTATCAGTGATATTACTTTTTTCCACGAGCAGTCTACACAAAATATACAATAATTTATTTTATGTACACCAAGGTGAAACAAGGTTTTATTTTCCTGAAGGTGACATTTTTTAAGTAATAAGATCCAACATGTAAACATTTAATAGAACTTATTCATTTCAATAATAGATAAAATCAATAGTAATTTGTTGGTCTGTAGATTTCAGCTTTACTAATAATTTGCCTGGAAAATTGTGCTACTGTTTACATAATAAGCTCATGAATTCCTGCAATTCAAGCTACCAGTAGCGTATCTGGGAGGGGGAGGGGCATAGAGCACACGTCCCCCAAAAGGCCCTTGTGCTACTGTAAGTGTTATCTCCTACTGTTTTTTTAGTTTTACAGATAGTAAAACCACCACATCTGACCTCATTCCCCACCCAATACCCCATCTGCTCCCCATGTTAATACTCTTAGCTACACCACAGCACTCTGTAGGCCCATTCTTACAAGGGCTTGCAGACCACTGTAATTCCCACAGTTAACTCCATGCTAAAGACATCTTCACACCATGCCACCATAGCTTCAAGTGGTAAACTCAAAAAAACTTACAGACCCATAATGACCTAAAAAACTAGCCTTTTAAAGTGCTATTTGTTTCTTCATATATACAAACTAACATAGCTAATTAACATATTCATTTCATAAATAAGCAAGGTGGATGTGTCTCTATGAGGGAAGGACTATTAGAAATTCAATACAAAATATCATTAACACACATACTTTTAACATGATATCTAAATTCATACCTTACATAATATTTTTCATAGTTGCATAACTCTATTAGTTCTTATGAGAATTTACCAATATTCTCTGATAAATTTTCATTAATAAGGCCATTATTGTTAGAAACCTGCCACTAATTTATCTTTGTAATCTTTGTAACTCTTACATTTTTCTCAATATGATTATAGTCATACTTATCACCAATACATCATCATCTCTTTTAGTTCCAATCCTTTTAATGTAGGATAATGTAAGACTCAACCTACAGTATTGCACCTTGGGCTACTAACACAGTTTAACACCTCTGTCTGCTACAAATCATCAACAATTTTATTACTCAATGTGAGATAATGTAGGTCAATATTTTTAATATAGCATCCAATCTAATAAGATGGATACTTTTCAACATATTTTACAACTAAATATTTCCAAGTAGCACCAGATACTGAGAGCAACATAATGATTGGTATGGAATTCAAATTTCAAAGCCATATGACCTCATTAGGAACCATTTACAACCATGTAGTGACGTAACGCCTATGTACTCCCGTGCGGCGGTCCGCAGGGTCCCGGCCCCAGCGTTACGCCACTGCAACCATGCCAATTTATTCTAAGTAACATTAATCTTTTATTTAACAAGATAAAAACATTCTGATATAATTATAAAACATGAAATTTCTCTATATTTACAGGAATTTGGTAATATTGTGTACAATGTGTTTATTTAGTGCTTTATTTAAATATTATATTTGGTACTAATCTAAAATATTATCGTTGTTTCTATGGCTATGTTCTCACATGGCTGCTAACAGTTAGCAGGATCCGGATCCTGCTAACCGTTAGCTGGATCTGGATCCTGCTAACCGCTAGCTGCTGTGTGTCCATACGAGAAAATCCCAATCCGGATACCAAAAATATGATCAAATCACTGGCCAATAAGAAACTGGAAATTGTAAACGCATACGTGTGATTGGTTGATGATAAAAACGCGCTCAACCAATCACACGTATGCGTTTACATGTGATTGGTTGATGATAAAAACGCGCTCAACTTGCTAACCGATAGCGCTTGCTAACCGTTAGCGGTATCTGGATGACCGTTAGCGCTAACCGATCGGGCGTTCTCATGCAGGTTCTAACGGTTAGCGCTAACGGTTAGCTCCCGATCCGGATACTAGGGCTCTCGTGTGAACCAGGCTTATAAGTCATTTTTTGAAGCTCTGTTCGCACAATCACATTTTCTTTCACAGAAAATGTGACATGCCCATATATGGGCATGACGTGCCTTATATATATGATCACATCATGACCATATATAGGCATGTGACATGTTTTATCTGCACAGGGCTTTACAATAAATCTAACACACTATCAAGGTTTCATTGACTACACATATATATACAGATATTGCTAATCTAGTTTAAACATAACAACATAGCACAGGAGGAATTAGTTCAATGGTATTAGTAAATTTTATATTACAAAACTGCACAATAAAATTGTCAACTTTACAGGAATTAAAATTGAGGAGACTTGCCACGTAAAGTTTTGATGATAGCGAGCTTTTGATTTCTTCGACGAGGCGACGCTAGAATGGAATCACTCAAGTGTGACCGTCCTACTGGGCATCCTACGTTCTCTGCATATACGTAGATTTGGCCAAATTACGTCCCAGAATCCACACGATGAGGAGAACTTAACGTTCTTGCATGTGCAGAAGACTTTTAGTGATTTCTTACCGTTGTTTTCGTGCAATCAAAGCTTCCTATTGATTATATGATGACAGTAATATTTTGTCAGATAATCATCTGCACATTTGAAGACTTTGCCTAGACTTACTGCCTAGACATTATTAGTCACAGTTGTTATACACCATTTTCGCTAAATTTGAAATGAAAATTTCCAGAGGCCTAGGCATTTCGCTCTTTGTAGTTACCAGTGTGTGGCACTCTATTTGCTACTAGCTAGCTGCTCAGGCTAGGTTAGGCTGCTGAATATCCCCCAGTGAAAAGTTGTGAGACATTGGCAGCACTGTTTCAAAATATACCTGATAAAATGGTGTATAGATGAGAGAAATTATAACTTGCAATTTGTCTTTGCCACACTGAATTTTTAAATTGTTTAATATGCTGTACAGAGGATGCAGGACGGTCACAAATGAGTGAATCCGTCTACGTTTATGATGTCATGTATCGAAATGCGGTTAACATACAGCTTGCTATAATCTGATAATGCTTTGTGTGTAGTTAATGTAAAATATATCCTACAGGTAAATCTAATATTCACGTTTATAGTTTTTAGCTTGTCTTGTATCTTAGTCTTGTATTTAGTTATTAGCACAACAAAGATCAACCAATGTTTTTTGAAATCAGAGCATCATCCCTGTCCTGCTGATGATAAGATCCGCCTTTCAATTTCGCGGTGAAGCGCCGTACGATATTCCTCGTATCCCATTACCACTTTACAGAGTTCTTCTTTATAGAGTCTTGTCAACATGGCTTGAAAAGTTTCCAGTTGTTGGAGCTGGAATAATTCCCATTTCAATTTTGAATCATGTTCTTTGCTTGCTTTAGCATAAATAGCTAACCATTCAGGAACCTCTGGAAAAGTGATAGGAAAATAGATCATGTGTAAAATCATGTGACAGATCACATGGTAACCCCTTTTAATAATCGTCTAAAACCAAGTACTGTATTGGTTATCTATAGTATTAATTGTACAGTTTTTATTTTGCTATTTGCTTGTAAACAATATTATGTTCATATAATATGCACCTTCCATGAAATGGTAGGCTTCCTACTCATAAATGCAATTTTAAAAAAATATTTGTCCATCAGATTACAGAAAATACATGGATGTTTTCCCCACTGCTGGTACTCAAAATTCAGGAGACATGATGTAGAATTGCGAATGGAGCCCCACACCCCTAACATTTTTTGAAATCTAGGCCCAGACTATCATGGGGTTCGTTTTTGGAAAACATTTTTATGGCACAATCATTGATAAAGTCAGTGTACAAAGAATATTTTGCATACTGAAAGATAGCCATTTTAGTTTTTGAGGGTTTATGTTAAAAATTCTGGAGAAAGGGATATAGAATAGAACATACAAAAGAGTTTTAACATCTGAAAACAAGCAGGGAGCTTTTGATAGGAACGTAGAACAAATTCACTCATCTGTGATGGTCTTCGCATGCTTTCTAAGTTTTATTATAAGCCTCTTTCAGTTTTTTATGATGCATATGTAGAAATGCCAACCCACCAATATTTAATACAGTACAGTCCTCATTCTGGCCTTAACATAGATTTGGCTGTCAACCTTTCCAGATTTCAGGCGAGCGTAACACACATTGTTTAGATATGTGGATTTAAATTAACATGACATCATTACGTTCTACGTCGTCACAAACTGAAACTAATTGTTCAAAAGCTGATACAGCAAAGATGTAAAATGTAATTAATAATGTCATAACTTAATTTGTTTCATACCTTGATTAAGATAGGGATTCGGTGGGACCCATCCATTTGAAACCTGCTGCTGAGATGCTATCTGGCTTGTTGGTAGTAAATGAGTTTGATCATTTATCACCTGTCTGGTTAATATTTGTTGAGACAGATGTGCCATATTCTGTGGTGGTCTCTGCTGGTACATTAACATCCTAAGAGCACTGGGATGTTGTGTAGTTACTTCTTTGGTGGCATTACTGTGGGGAAAACATGATGCATTAAAACTCGAAATATACCAAAGGCTTCCAATCATGCCATTCTCTTAGATTTCTACATGGTACTCCTTCTCTTTAGGTCTATTGATCACACCATGAGGTGTCTAAATGGGTCTTATACCTACTTTTCATTATGTCAGTGACTACTAAATATCTTTTTGAAGATGGTTAATCAGCATCAATACCAGTGTTGGCCATTCATTCATGGAGTCACTAAATGGTACTCTACCATGATATTATGGGGTCACCATTTTACGTTGCTATGTTATCACGATACCGTAGTTGTCTAACTATCAGGTTACTGTTTGATATATTACAACACAATATGTATTTTTTTTTTACATTATAAAGAGCAAAAAATCCTAGGACTAAAGAGAGTCAGGGGGAGGGGAAGAATTCAACGTGCAGAAGGAACATGGCTAATAAACCTTACCATACATAATATGTTCCATGTTTAGTTGATTCTACACGATCCCATCCCGGAGGTAATCGTTTTTTCTCGTATGGGTGACTCCAGTGTGTAGTTTTTGTGTTGTGACTGCAAAAGAAAAGTGTTTTAATAAGTTATTGATATGCTAATGGTAAAAAGTGCACTGAAAATCTAATCATTACATAATTAATTGTAGACAGTATTGACATATAACGTTCACAGGAAATGCTTATTATTCATACTTTTTTCTGTTTAAACTGCTGTGACTTGTAGTTGAAATATAGTATTCAACAGTAAAGAATGAAAATGGTGTTCCATTGCAAATACATTATTTGTTAAAGTAAGTTACATCTATAGTGCTTTTCTGTGGTTATAAGGCACTAAACAACGTGACTATGAATAGATCCCCTATAAAGCTTGCGCAAAACCACAAACCAAACAACATGATAAGCCGCTTTCCTCTGCATGTCATAAAACCGTTGAGTAAACAGACCAAACCTATATTAAGCATTCTAAACCATACTTCTCTACATTACATAATCCCCATGAGCAAAGCTTGCTCACAGACCAAACCCACACTGACCAAGCTTCATTCATTGCATTGATGCAGGAGAAACCTACAATTGTCATCATTGTAACTTACTCAATATAATACTTTCGTCCTCTAAGTGTCCTGTCCACAGACCAGCCTGGGGGCAGGGGTGGATCCTCGGTGGTACTAAATTGAGCTTCAAATGCAAAATAAATTTTTGGTTATTTATCGACGTATAATAATCATTATCATTCAATATATTTATTCAATTTATTCTAATTCAGGAAGCCCACCACTATTTATTATTACCAATGGTCATAGCAATGAGTTGACATAATTTAAGATGAGAACCAGGGGTCCCAAGTTGGAAGAAGACACTTCTTAACACATCTATCTATCATGATAGGAGTGATGTTGATGTGATGTGTATATGATATTTTCCTGACAAAAACTCATTTCAAAATAACATCTAACTATATTTTGCTGTGCGTTGTGATACCCAAGGCCAGCTGAATTTACGTAGACAATTATTAATACAATAGTGCAAATATTATGAGTTTTTAGGAATTTATTTAGTTCACGGCAGATTTTTGTTTCTTCTCGGGAGTGCAGGAGAACGTGCATCCTTCTAGGGAGGCTCTTGCTACTTGTGAGGGACTTGGAATCCCTGGAGTACATCTACAAGCCTAGACTTACCACTACTGGTTACAGAAGTGAGATGAGGTGGGTAGTGTGTTGCAAAGCTCTGTTGAGATGAAGCAACCGACTGATACAAAACATGAGAGGCTGCATAAAAACAAGTATGAACTTTGTAGAAATGAAATGAAGCATGAATATATATATATATATATATATATATATATATATGGATTAACTATTTCATAGTTATTATGACATGAATCATCTATAGATATTATTAGAAAAAAAATTAAAAATTTATCAGAAGTATGTTTGACTAGAAAAAGTAGCAAAATCAAAGTAAATAAAAGGATACTTAGAGATGTCAAAATTGGAAAAAGAAATGGTGATCATTCAATTTAATACAGAGGCTATAAATTTTTTTTTAAAACCTGAAATATGTAATACACGATCCTACGCCAGAATGCATAGATTGTTGCGTACGTAGGCAGTGAACTTAAGCCTACTAATGGGTGCATACTTAAGGGTATGTGGGCTTTAGCCTTAGCGTATGAATAATCTCAAACAGCAACATACTTGCCAATCTTTAAGATTGGCAAGTTATATAATTAAATTTATTCCTAATTACTGTACTATGAAATAGAGGACTTACTGTCAGCTTTGCTGTCTTTTAAATCTGGTACTGTTAAAGGAATACAATGATGACTGTCTCTTATACACATCTAGATGTGTATAAGAGACAGGTGATACCCACCGGCACTGATTTCCATAAGAGAATTGATAATAAAGTACAGGTAATCAAAACATGCAAATATTATGAATTTGAGAGAGATGGGTTACATTCCAGGAGATTTTTGCTTGCTTCCAGGAGTTTGGGAGGCTGTCTCAATTTCCAGAAGAATCCCGCAACTCCTGGGAGAATTGGAACCCCTGTACTGTATATTTTAACATCTATTTTCCATGCTTTTCAATGTAGAGTTACAAGTTAAATGGGGGTAATTGAAATATCCACTGTTTAAACTTAATAAAGCACCTTTAAATAATTGTGGAAAAGCATTTGCTCATAAAATACCTTGGAATATAGGAAGCTGCTCCTTTTTTGTGTACTTGCCAGCTATTCCACTCTCTGGTAATGGTCTAAAAGCATCTTTTTTTCGTGGTCGCAACATTCTACGACTGTACTGAGTATAGCAGCACCAGCATTATGGCTAAAGCAACATTACTAAAATCAAGAAAGGCCAAATACATGTTTTACAAATATAATCAAAATACGATCATCTGTGTTACATGCATATTATGTGACAGGGGTGGCACCAGGATTTGCCCGACGGGGGGCCAAGGTCTCCGACGGGGGGGTGTGATGACGAAAGCCCGACGAAAGCAAAGTGGGCGTGGTCGAGCTTTGATTAAAAGGTTTGAAAAGTGGTCCAGGGAGCGAGGCCCCCGAAAATGTTAACAATTTAAGGGTTTCAAATGCTTATTTGATCAATTTTAGAGTCTACTAATATGTAGAAAATACATATAATTGGGGGGGGGGTGAGGGAAGCTCTCCCCAATGGGAGAACTGTGGCCCCTCCCCGCTAGCGCCACCCCTGTTGTGTGACACTCATTAAGTTTACCGAGATGTTACATTGAAATTACCTGCACATGCTTAAAAATTACAATGATTTGACATGTGGATCTAATCAACTTTTTATCGTGAAATGAACATTCAATTCAAAACAAACCCAACTTACTTACTACAGGCCTGACTTTTTACAAGGACTGGACTTGTAAATGATATTATCCATTTTCATTAATTGTATGTGTTCTTTATGAATAAATAATGATAGGTATTTCAAAAAGTATAAAATAAATACTACTAAATAGTGAGGTGAAACTACAGTAGGTCCCAAGTTTTTATATATTGCTGTAAAGATAATTAAATATTAGGTTCCATTTTCTTTATCTCAGTTAAATTGAATAGGTATTAACAAAGAGTGCATTTGATTTGAGTACAAAAATCAACTAAAAAAAAAAGGTCCTCAGTCGTTCTGAAAAGGTAAACCTGATTGAGATTGTCTGACCAGTGGCATCCTACATTGAAATAACCATATTCCAGTAGTGGTGGTGGTATAGCCTAGGCCCTAGTGGTAAGGCTAGCCTGCCTAGGCCTATCAATTTGCATCGCCACCAAAAAAAAAATGATTCGCGGCCTTAACTTAATCCCCCCTGGACGCTGCCTCTCTCTCCTCAGCCCGCCACGTAACGTAGGCTCGTAGCCTACCTAGGCCTAGCCTATAATAACTTGAGACTAGTAATTAAAGGCTTTCTACAAAAAAACCCAATAGAAAATATAATCTGTGCGTTATAATGTGAATTACCCGCTTACCAGTTTTATCTTCCGGACTTGTACTAGGGTGGATAACAACTGACAAACTGTATTTCTCATAAGTTACCTAATCCTAGGCCTAGCTAGCCTACGTCTTAATATTGACAACTCCACACTCTGTAGTTTGGTTTATGAGTTTATATTAGCCTCACCGTCCAATCGTCCTTTCGATCCTTCATGACTGTACTGCTTACGCCCTCTAGCCTCTTTGCACACTGGGTGGGGCATCCTAGGTGACATTGAGTGACTAATTTGATTTTTCATATACCGTACTCGCGCGAATAAGGGCCCGGGCGCTTAAAATATTTTTTGCACTTTCCGAGGGGCGCTTATTCAAACGGGGCGCTTATTTAAACGGGGCGCTTATGAAAACAGAGTGGAAATTGAGTGGGCGCTTATGGAAATAGATGAAAATCGAGGGGTTCTTATGGAAAATTTTTAATTTCAAGAGTCACTTTTTGAATGAAAAAAGATTATTTAAGGACATCACGAATGGTATTTAGAAAAGATAATCGTCCAGAGAAAATGGCTCATTACAAGAATGCGTGAATATTTACATAACAGCAAAATAGCAGATGCTAGTGGTTAGCTTGTTGGCCATCGGCCGATGGAGATTAGCAGGATGGGAGGGTCATTGTATTTTTTCTTGAAAACTAGATGAAAATGTGCTAAAGGTCGGAAAAAGAGAAAGAGGAGTAGGACCAGGCATAGACAAATATGTAAAAAGAGTAAAGTTGGAAATATACTGTCTGTCCAGGGATCGGAGCTCTCATCTGTCCTAGAGAAATATCCTCATTTTGAAATTGACGAAGAAGAATGTGTTTCCACTCTACAGCTAAAATCATGCCAACAACCACAGTCCCAGGATTGATTGGATTATTGACTTGCTAAAAAGAAAATCTAATGAGGGGCGCTTATTCAAATTAGAAGGGGTGCTTATTCAAACGGGGCGCTTAAGGAAATTTTCACGTTAGGAGGGGCAGTTATTCAAACGGGGTGCTTATTCGCGCGAGTACGGTACACAGTTTGTCCTTAAATACTAGCCATAAATGAAGATTAAAAAAAGGAAAAAAAAAACCTGGCTCGTGTGGTGAATATTCATAGATTCTTCTCATATAAAATATATAAATTGCAATTGGATGAAGCCCTAACCTTAACAAAAAACATTAAAATGGTCGTGTGGGAATCGAACACACAACCACCAGGTTTGCTATTCATTATCCACCATCAACT